CATGAAGGTGGATGAACTTATAGGTTCTCTCCGAACATTTGAGATGGGCATGTGTGATCAGTCTGTGGAGACAAAGAGCAAAAGTATAGCTCTGGTCTCAAACACTGATGATTAAGATGAAGAAGATGGTGAAAAAGAAGAAAATTTATCAGAAGCAATAGCACTGCTTGGAAGATAATTTAGTAAACTGATCAAAAGAATAGATCAGAAGTCAAAGCCATATGTCAAAAACAGCTCCTCTGACATCAGCAAAGCTGAAGACAAAGCTGGCCAAAGCAAAGGAGTACAATGTCACGAGTGTGAAGGATATGGACATGTTAGGAGGGAATGTCCCACATACCTCAAAAAGAAGGGAAAAGGCCTAATTGTCACTTGGTCTGATGAAGACTCAAGAAATGAATCAGAATGAGAGTCTGTCAAGCATGTCACTGCTTTCAACAGTGTGTGCATATCTGAAGGGGACTCAAGTGAAGAAGAATTGACTTTTGAGGAAATTGCAGCCTCATATCAAAAGCATAGAATTGTATCAGCAGGGAGAGCAACAAAAGAAAATCATAAAGGAATTAGAAGCTGAAAAGAGAGAGCATCTAGCCACAATAAACACACTCAGAAGTGAAGTGAATGAGTTGAAAGGTAAAAAAGATCAAATGATAAAATCCATAAGGATGCTCAATTCTGGGATTGACACCCTAGAGGAAATCCTTCAGATTGGTCAGGCCTCAGGAGATAGATCTGGACTAGGATTTGTTGGTAAACAAAATCCTGTGCTAAAACTTAAGAGATTACAACCTGAGGTCTAGAAGCCAAAGAGGATGTCACAACCAATGTCACAACATCCAACTAACAGAAACTGGAATCAAGTCAAAAGTAGATTCCAAGGGTATAAATGTTACCACTGTGGAAAACTTGGTCATATCAAATCTGTGTGTTTCTGGCTGCATGGATTTCCTAGTCATCCACATCAAGAACATAAAGCTCATGTCAAAAGGCAGCATCAAGCAAGAACTAAGAAGGGTGCTTCTAACAGGCAAAGACATTGGGTTACCAAGAATATGGCCTTAGCAGCTCACACTGCTCTAAGGATGCCAACCCAAGAGGATTGGTACTTTGACAGTGGTTATTCCAAACATATGACTGGAATTGAGGACCACTTGATAAAACTCAAGCCTCACACTGTCACACTATTGGCTCGAATCCTTAATGTTTTCACTTTCGTGCAAAACCTTTTAGATCTTAAAATTAAAAAACGAAACGAGAAAAACAATTTATGAAGTTACGCCAAATCAATATCGAGTTCTGTCGGAGCGACGATCCTCACATACCTGACTCAAGGTATTTAGTCGGACATAGCGTGCGTATAACTCATGTTAAGATTATTAGGCATGCAACTCATAAACATTATGGAAATAATATATATATATATGCGGATTATATTGCAATTTAGTAACGTAGGCATACAATTGCTAATAATAACAAAGGCGTGTAAAACTTACGGGAATAGAAGCAATATGGGAAATAAAGTGCGGGAAGACTTGATTAAAGGGAAAACTTCTTGAATTAACTATGGCGACGAGATTAACTTTATGGTCCAAGCAGTACGAAATGATTCAGTATTCAAAGTAGGGCACTAATCCCTCGATATGAACGATTAGTGCGTTTTATAGTGGAATATATGCCTAAACAATAACTAGGGAACTTGGATGCCAAATTTCATAAAACCTAAGCCTTATATAGTGAAATGAATAAAAACATAATTGGAACTCGTGGGCTGGCAGTTGAGAAGGTCATTGGGTGAGTTGGAGGAGATTTCTCTGGGGCAGTTACTGGATTTTTGGGTGCGCATTGTGTGGCAAACGCCACAGGTCATGGCAAATGCCACCTCCTTGAAAATAGAAGGACTTAGTCTAGAACACCTATGGCGAATGCCATCAGGCCATGGCGAACGCCATGAGTCCAAGTTGCGTCTCCTTTGGGCTTTGCCTTGTCTTTCTTGGGTTTTCTTCCATATTTGCTAATTTTTGGCCCATTTTGTCTTATACCATCCTCAACTTTGCACATAGCTGCAAATTACGAATAATACCAGCATAACACCATATAAAAGCGTAAAATAAACATGAAACAGACAAAATATGCATGTGAATCGAGGCAAAAACAATGTGAATTTCAGTGTTATCAGGTAGCATAAAGCATATGTTATCAGAGAATACCTGTTGTATTTGGGTGACACTGCCATTTTTTGTGGATGTCATCTACCTACGATACTTTGAGGACTTTGAGCGGATCCATGAGTACAATTGGGGGACCGCTTGTTTGGTCTACTTATACTCTAAATTTTCTGAAGGTTGTATGTGGAAGATGAAACAGGTGACATGCAGTATCACATTATTGACGAGATATTTATTGATATTTAATGTTTGTGTGTCTTTCATTACACTTTTGCAACACCCTTACTAATGATTCGTGTGTTCCAACACTTTTTAGGCTTGGATCCTCCCGCACTTCCCACGCCTCTCTAGCTGGTCGTGTTTACTGACCTATACTGAGGATATGCCACATGCTTACACATTCGCCCCACTCAAAGGGAACCCGACGACATAACAGTTCATAATGTATGTTAACCGCTTGGTAGTAGAGGATATACACTTTCATATATTCGATCACCGTGAGACGTGACCCTTTGACGACATAGTCTTATACTCTGGATGATTGGATTACGATTCACGTTTGACGTTTGCTTATCTGCCTGAACACCTCATGTAGAAGTTCGACTACATGCAATCTATTCCCAGACACCCTATTGTCTCTTCTCATCCTTAAGCTATGACATGTAAAAATATGGATGCTATGTTTGATGAATATCCTAGTCATCTCGTACCAAAAGAGGCACGAAGTACCCTAGTTGAGAGCGACCGAAGCTACATAAACGAGTACGTCTGGTGGTTCTTTAGGGTATCACATCCTTATATTGTACATGATGCTCCAGGAGATCCACCGAGGCCAACTCATCAGGAGATACTAGAGGAGGAGCATGTTAGGGCAGATCATGCTCATGATTTGTTGCCTAGATGTCGTTGTATTGTGGAGATTGGACAGACAAGTATTGACAAATGTCTCTTTTCAGATGACTATGAGGTGAAGGACATTCTAGATGCCATGACGATGGAGGCACGAGAGGTAATGATGTACAAGAGCTAACTTTGAAACACGAGGGCCCGAGGAGCCCGAGTCCATCATACGTAGTAGTATATAATATTTGTACTTTGAATTTATTATCAATTGTATTTTATTTTGACTTATTTTGACTTTATCGTGTATCAGTTGATGACTTATTTTGACCATCTGAATTTATATTTGCCATTTTTTGCATATCGAATATATTATTTAATACTCGTCATAATATACCTATGCAATATCCTCAATTTCATATGAGTATCAATAAAATGAACTCAACATTTACATTATTGTGTCTTGTTATGGAGATGCATCTTCGTATAAATTTGATGTGTATACAAAAATGTATCTTCGGATCATCTATGTTTAAAAGGGCCCTTTAAGAGAGGGATGTATGTGATGTGTATTGAAATTGTTCTGGCCTGGGCCCGACCTCACCTCGCGCCCCAGCCCAATATACGCAGCCAAGGCCCAATATGATTTAATTAGGCTGGTCGGGCACGCGACCCCCTCGTCGGACAGGATATGCTCCCGTCGAGCAGGACAACGTGCCTCAAGGCGCCCTCGGTGCTCTCCCCTCGTCGGGCAGAACAACCCTCCGTGGGCAGAATCCCCATGCCACGAGCAGGACAACGCGTCTTCCCCGCGTCCGTGTGTGTTCCCCTCCACGGGGAGAACAACACACCTCTGGGGGACCTCGCGAGCTCCCCTCTGCGGGGAGAGCAACGTGTCATGCTCACGTTCTCCACGTGCTCCCCTCCACGGGGACACGTCACTAACCAACTGCCCACCTCCGAAAGAGCAGGTCAAACCCACTTTCCGGAGATCTCGGGACAGTTGGACTAGGGCGAAGACGACATTCTAGTCTTCACTACGCCACGTAAGCCCTAGCAGTCACCTGGGTTGGGCCTGACAGTCCAGCCCAACACAAGTGACAGTTGGCCCAGCGCTGGGGTCTCTTTGTAAATACCCTCTTCCACATGAGGGTCAGGTAATTCACTTCTTACTCCTTTTCTTTACTTTGCTCTCACTCTGCCCATCCCTTACTTTGGCATCAGAGTGTCTTGCAGGTACACCCCCCCTTCTCCTCCTCATCACGATGAACAGGTAGCAGTCCAACAGAGTGTGGTCAGCCCGTGATCCCCTTCTGATCAGGTCAGATCAAAAATATTTTAAAAACTTTGAATTATTTTTTATAAAATATATTTATGTAACTCAATTTTAATATTTTGAATTAAAACAAATGTGCATTAAGAGATACATATCCTAAATCCGAAAAATATTTTCGAATTTTCGTAATGTTTTACATAGAGTAAGATAAAAAAAAAACCTAAAAAAAATTATATTGAAATTTTATTTGAATAATATTATTTTTTAGTTCTAATAATCTCACGACTTGAAAGTCTATTAAAATTTACTATTTCTATTTTAACTTAAAAGTCATTTTATAAAAGGAATTGTCATAAATTATAAATGGTATTACGGTTTTAATAATTTTTTGAATATACTTTCTACTATTTATAATTTTTTTAAAATTTTTTAAAATTTATTTTAATGTATAATGAATAAATATAATAGTGTAAAATTATACATGATATTTTTTATATAAAATTAATTATACTTCTTAATTATGTAAAACGTTCAAAAATGATTTGGATCAAAAGAGTAATTAATTTAATTAATATAAAAAAAATAGCGGCGTAGCATTGATCTCTAGAACAAGGCGTGTTCGCTCCGCACGTGGGGTGGGTTGTTAGTTTTGTGATCGTGAATTTGTAAGAAAAGGGAGAGATCGAGGAAGGAGAGAGAGCGAGAGTGAGAGAAGGAGCATGGCCGATCTATTTGGATGGCTCATCTCCTTCTTCCTCCTCGTCGCCTTACTCGTCCTCATCACTTACCAGGTTCCTCTTATCTTCTCCTCCTTCTCATTTTCCTGCTTAATTTCATACTATACTCAAACATGTTCCGATTTAGGGTTTGCAATTAATCTAATTTCAAATTTTTGAATTTTTTTTTTGCAGCTAATGTGCCTCGCAGACCTAGAATTTGATTATATAAATCCTTACGATTTCGCCGGGCGAATCAATTCTGTGGTTTTGGTTGAATATATTCTTCAAGGTGTCCTTTGCTGCTTCTACCTTGTTACTGGCCATTGGTTTATGTCAGTGTTGTGTGTTCCTTATCTATACTTCAATATCAGATTGTAAGTTTTTATATCCAATTCTTATTATGTATAGGTTATACTAAAATCTGTCATGATTCTTTGATAATTTTTGTTTGAGATGTCTAGCAATGTTGATGGTGCATGTGTCAGGTCAAATTTGATAGGAGTAGAACGTGTTTTGGTTTTGGCATTTAATTGAGTTGCATAGTTTGGTTGCATTTCTTTTACTGTTTAGCAGATTGTTTTCACTGTCTTTGGGTAAAGTGGCGAGTGTGGGGGGAGTTGAGATGTCGGTGGATGGAAGGTGGGAGTGGGTGTTAAGGTGGAGACTAGCGTTGTTCCAATGGGGGGTAGTATTAGACAATTGGCGCCACAACTGTTGTAGAAGGGGTAGTTTTTCGAACGGGGGAGAGACAAAGTGGTATGAAAGGAGAAAAAATTGGGATCTGTTGAGTGAAATTGGCTTACAAGAGTTTGATGTGAAAGAGTTTTGATAGAGGGGTATAGTTTAACAATTTGGAGTTTGGTACAATTAATACTACCTCCCTCCCAAAATAAGTGTCATAATTGATCATTTTACACGAATTAAGAAAATGTGATAAATGAAAGACAGAAAGAAAGAGAATAGTATTTTTACCAAACTATCCTTGTTTACTATTGGTGTATTCAAATTATCATAAATGAAAAGTGAAAAAATAACAAATTGAGAGTATTAATTAGAGGGTATAATTGAAAGATAAAAATTTGTATTGCATTGGAAACTAAAAGCGACACTTATTTAGGAACAAATAATTTTATCTGATGTGACACTTATTTTGGAATGGAGGGAGTGCCGGTTAAGGTAGAAGGAATTGTTCACTTAGCAAATTATTCAAAATGGAATTCCTACCGAAGATAACTTCCTTAGTCGTGGGATTATTGGAATTGATGCACAATTGTGTAATGCATTGAAACAATGAGTCGCTTATTCTTTGAATACCGTTTATTTTCATTGGTTGGTGTCTATGGCTCTACATAACGAAGGTAGTCAATATCTGTGGAATTTTTCTGGTTTTGATCTTCAGAGTTAAAATTTAGAACAATTTGGTTTTCATGTATTTGGACCATTCGGAAAGCTAGAAACAAGCACATTTTTCAAGGAAGGGAAGTGTTGGTAGAAAATATGGTTGAACAATCAAAATTGACTTATTGGAAATGGCCAAGTGCAAAATTGCCTAATTTTGGGTTATTGTATTGCTCAATGGTTTTTAAATCCTTTGGAATGTTTGGGTTTTTCTTGGTGAATGCTGTGCAGATTTTGTTACTGAATTTGACAGGAAAATTTCTGTGTTTCGCATGGAAATCCCCCATTCCACATGCCACTGAACTCACATTTGGCAGTTTTGTCTGTTCTGGTGATTCCGGCTGTTGTTTTGACGGCGCCAGTTTGACCAAACAAGACGACGCTCCACCGTTCACCACTGATATGTCTGGATCAGACGCCGGCGGCGGATGTCGGACGTTCAATTCTGCCCTTGATTCAACCTCAATACTCACCCCATGTCCATTAAACCGACTACCAAATAACCCATAAATTTACACAAATCTGCTTTGCTCTCTTTCACCGTATCCACAATCATGATATCCATAAACACAGCATTCACGAGCACATTTTCTGCCTATATCTCTATTTTTTGCCCACCTTTTCTGCTATCATCAATTTTTTGCTCACCTTTTTTTTTTCCTGCTATCATCATTGGATTTGAATTTCCTTGGTTAATGTCTTTGTGTTGACCATCCATTGAATCTTCAACAGTTAGCGACTGATTCAATTTCAAGGTCCTCTTCTTTGTCTGAAGGTATAGGCAATATGTCCCAATATTTTGAGCTTGCAACGCCAACTAACTTGTTGATGGTGCCAATTCCACCAGTGCTACCATTGGCGAACACAACCTCTGAGTAACTTCAATGCCTCTTGTATTTCCCTCTTTTCGAAATATTCCTCAATGCATAATACGCCACCAGTATGCATCTTCTCCATGAAACACTGAAACTTCATTTCAGGCAGTGTACCACAAATCCAATAAACATGCTCTAATACCAGTTAACAATGGTTTATTATTGGATGTTCTTCGGGGTAAGGTTCCCAAATCAGAGATAGAATATACAATCACTCCCTTAAGCAGAATTGAAAAGTTACAGGTGTAGAAGACACAGATCCTACCAAGTTTTGAGAGGTTGTTTCTTTCCCCTTCCTAAATGTTAGAGTTGGGTCTCTCCCACTAACTACTCAATATAAACTCTCCCCTATCTTTCTCTATTTATTCTAAACACAAACTCCCCCATATCTTTTTCTATTTATTCTAAACATAAACTCTCCCCTATCTTTCTCTATTTATTCTATAACATAAACCATCCCCTATCATGTATTTTCTTTTAGATATATTAGCATTTTGTTCAGTTTTTCCACTCCTGGTTTAGTCTGTTTTACACACTATATTTATGGTTTGGTCAAATGTATGGAACACCTACGCAATCCAAAGAATGTATAAGAATGTGCTTACACAGTGTTATTATTATGTTTATTGCAACAACCTGATACCTATTACAAAGTTTGGAATTAGCTTTTCATCAGTATAGTCAAATTGTTGTTCTTTATATCTCTTGTAACTGCCCTATGATATTTGTTCCTGTGTGTCACTAGTTAGTTATCCATTGTTTACCAGTTATAGAATTTAGGGAGGTGAATTGTTTTTTCATCCTGTTTTTTGTAACTATGATGCTTGATATCTTAATGTACTGGAATATGCTTAAAATGGTCATGCTAATTGCACATTTGTTTATGTGATCAGGTATAGACAAAAAAAGCATTTAATTGATGTTACTGAGATATTCAGCATGCTCTCGTGGGAAAAGAAGCAACGACTCGTCAAACTCTTTTATCTTGTTACAACTCTTTTCCTCTCTGTATTTTGGTATGAGAAGGCCTAATTATCTGTTAGTGTTATGAATTTCATTAAAATATGTTTTTATTCTTAAATGTTTGTTTTGTTGTAGGCTGATATATACAACATTGGATGAGCATGATGCGTAATTGCAGTGGATACTTGTTTTATGGAGTGCTTTCTGAAAGTGACCTCCACAGTTGATTTCCAGATGTCTGTGGTAGGGTGCATTTTCATTGACACTAACATGGCTGACTGTATTTTTGGGACAGCGTTGCAACTGCAAGCTTGTTTTGATATTTTGTCAGTTAGATATCTTTATGTAGAGCTAGCATTTTATGCTTATCTTATTCATGATATTAAAAGGAAGGTGCTGGCGGCTGATGAGGGGTTTGGGTTATTTGCGTAGTGTTGTTGGTCCATATGTGGATATGGGTACCGAAAAGATTATGTATTTATTCATAATGAAGTTGTTTACCAAACTTGTAGTTTGCAGTTTTAACTTTTTCAGCAAGTCTATGGTTCATTCCTTCAAAGAGGATGGACCATGCAACAAAATTATTGAACTGCCAGATATGCGTGGACTAGTGTCTGAAAAGTAATACAGTATAATTTTTTTGGTGAATTCTTATTTATCCACTTCAAAAAGTTGGGTAAGGTTATTCTTAATGCAAAATGCTTTGAAAACAACCAATAATTGTACTATTAATAAATAATTAAATATGTTAAAATTAAATGATATTATGTGATTGATTGAATGTACACACATTACTCAACTTTTTGTGATGGATTGACAAGTTGTCCTTAATTTTATAAGTGATATTTATGAGTTACATGATATAAAATATTATACATCATAGTTCATGTTGATATGTATTCTATAAAAGATGAAGGGTAAAAAAAACAAGCTACTTCTATTACCTTATCAGGAATAGCTTACAAAAGAAGAATAAATCACATTACAATATTATCTACCATGAAATGATACATTTTAGTCAGGTGAGTTATTTCTATTTCCTAGTATCTGTTAGACTTGCTTACCAATTATTTCCATAGAAGAAATATATGTTTAAGCCAACTTTCTAAATTGTTCTCAGAAAAACTATAAAATGATTTCCAATAGGTTTAGCTTCTATTAGTTTTGCTGGTTTCATGATGGATTGAAACTTTGACTAATTTAAGCTAGAATATTATATAGTCCATTAAGATTAGCAATTTAGAATTGGGAAGAGTGCAAGCAATTCTATTGAAAAATGTTCAAGGTGAAATTGTATTGTAAAGTTGGTCACATATCACGTGTAAATGAGAAAACTGCAAGTTACCGACAATTAGTAGATAACTAATGAAACAAAATATGCCCGAAAGAAGAATTGATTTTTTCTTCACATTTACATTTATATATTCATTCTCTATCTAATATTGAATTAAACAATACAATATAGAATCCAACCAGTAGTAGAGTAACAAATAAAAGAATGTTTAATTATGTAAAATGTAATTTTCCTTCCACTCGAACTAACAAATAACAAATAAAAGAAACATAACAGCAATTTTTCAAGTCACATATTCCATACTTGATAAACTAACATTAACCCAAGAAGTCAGTAGTAATCATACTATACCTAAAATAAATAATAAGATCAAGAACAATATCTATAAATACCTATAAAGGAGATATCAAACTTTGAACATAAAACTGTGGTACCACCTTGTGATCATGAATATTGTTTTGCATCTTTGGAATACTAAAAGTATTATTAATAGAATCATAGACAACAAAACCATATTCTCCCATGTTATAGAACTCCATCAGCAATTTATCATCCTCTGAAATATATAATACCTTCACATAACAGTAAAACATACCTTCTTCCGAGTGAGGAATACTAAACAATTTAGTCCAAGATTTTTCATTTCCATATTCTTTCATGATCCAAATATTAGAAATTTTTTCTTTACAAATATGAGAAAGGATGGACAAACAACCCTTGAATGCCCCCAAGGCAATGGAATGTTCGGTTCCTGAATCACCATCTTTGTAAAAAGGGGGTGAAAACTTTTGATAAGACTCTTTCTCTAAATCAAGAGAAACAATGACCCATGCCAAATTATTTTCACTTGCAAACCAATTAACAGTATCATTAACAAATATTCCAGGTTTACGAATGAGAGAAGAGCATGGAAAGTCCGGAATTCTTGTCCAATAATCGGTACCCAAAACGTGAATGTTAACTTCTATTTTGCTATCACAGAGAGTAACAATAGCAACAATCTTATAATTACTAGTGACACGATCATACACTAAAGTATAAGAGTTTAGAAAACAAGTCTCTTTTGAATTTTCCAAAGGAGGCAATATTTTGGATTTTCTAGTGGAAGGATTATACAAAACAGCTAAAGATTTATCTATCCCAAAACAGAGGAGGCCGTCACAAGCGCTAATTGCCGCACGACGGCGTCCATTATTAAGAACCCCCGTTAGAGTTGGACTAAACTGCTTTACAGGAACAATATTGGAAGCAGAGGTGAAAAAAGAGGATATTGGAGAATGACATAGAAGGAACTCACATGAACAGCGAGTAGATGATAGGAAGAGGTGGTGGCTGTCACGGTGGGAGGCTGACAAACTGAGTTGCTTCCTGGCGAACTTGGAATCAAAAGAGATAAGAGAATTCCATAACTTACAGACGCAACAGAGTTGAAGTAGCTGTTTCACGGGGAGTCTACACAGTATTTCTGCAACAAGATCGAACGGAAGATGCGGTGCTGTCAGTGACAGAGAAGAAAGATCGAACGGAAGCTGTGATGCTGTCAGTGACAGAGAAGAAGAAGCTGCCTCGCTTTGGCCATCATCTTGGCTACCTGCCGTCATATTAAAATCCTAAGACAACTCAGATTACTAATAACCTAATCAACTTTGTGTAGTATATATACACATCTTCAAATTTTTTTGTCACGTAACTTTTTTTTTTTACTTTAGGGTTATTAATAATAAATTCTGATATAATTAGATTTTATATTTAAAATTTATTTTAAAATGAATTATAATAAAAAGTGACATTATATATGTGTTCACCTTAATATTATAGGTAGGTTTCTAAATTATTTAAGAATATTTAAATTGGTTTTAAAATTAAAAAATAAATATAATAAGTTTTTTTAAACTATTATTAGATCCTTATATTAAACCACTAGTCAAATGTCAATCAATATTGACGTCTCAAATATAGGGATTTAAAACCTCCTTGAATGTCTCTCTCCATTCTATAATTAATAATTTATTTGAAATAAAAAAGTATTTTAAAATGAATAATTTATTTTAATTTTCAATACATCTATTTTTTAATTAATATTTTTATTATTCTTAATATATGATAAGTGTATTCTAATAAAAATATTATTCTCTCTTTTAATTTTTTTTTTAATTTGTGTGAAATGATCCATCAGACCACTTATTATAGAGAGTAAATTTTCTACATCAATAATATGATATGATCATGATTCCTCTAATTTCCACTTCCTTACCTTTCTCTAACTTTCTCTCTATCTCTTTCTTGATTTATTTTCTCTCACATTTTTTTCTTTAAAATTAATATCACTAACTCATTTATACCATACAAATATTGCCTAATGTCACTCTAACTTTCCTCCCTTAAAGTTAGAGGTTCTTTACCCCAACAATACATTCTGTCATTTATACAACAACTTTATAATTATGAGATTGATTAAATAAATTAGATTTAAATGACAATGTCTTATATTCACAAACAGTCTTTTTATTTCTTTAATTATTTATCATTGTTTACTATGAATTGATTTAATATTATTTATTTATTTATAATATACCATTTTATTTTTACAAATTTACTTAACTATGTAGTAAAAAAACTACAAATTAATTCGTCTGCTAGGCTTTCGTGCATGAGCTCATCATCATTAGAGTTTGTAGCTGCAAACCAAACAATTCATCCCCAAGAAGAAGATTTGAAAGAGAGAAGCAGCCGAAAAGTTAAAGGAAAAGGAGTGGAAGCAATCTTTTGTTTTTCGTTCGATGAAGCGCTAATGGAGACAAATGACATCGCAGGTAAGATTGTAACCCCCGTCATACAAGAACGTTGTGATAGGTGAAGCTTCGGCGTCAATAAACACTGATCAAGATAATATTGAAGAAGATGCATTTAGAGGACTAAAGATTGGAGAAAGAAAGGCTGAAGACTATGAATATTCATAATTCATTCTCTCTGAAACGGAAGAATGAAGAATTGCAAGGCCATGGAGAATAAGAGTCATTGTCAAAATGTTGGGAAAAAGGATAGGGTATAAGGCGTTGGAAAACAAGCTTAGTTAGATGTGGGCAAAGAGAGGAGTTCTGAACATGATTGACTTAGGAAAAGAATACTATATTATCACCTTTACCAGCGAAGAGGACCAGAACCATGCACTCATGGAAGGATTGTGCCTCATTTACGATCATTATCTCTTAGTTAAGGAATGTAACGCCAACTTTTTTCCAATTAGTGACCCGATATAGCAGTTAGCGGTGTGGCTGAAATTTTTTGGTTTTCCTATTGAATATTACGTTGATCGCATGCTACCATACGTTGGGAATCACATTTAAAAAACTGTAAAGGCCGACAAAAATACAATCTCAAGGGAGAGGGGAAAGTACGCTCAATTACGCATCCAAGTAGATTTAACCAAAACTGTTCTAACAAGGTTCTTAATAAAGGGGAAATATTACAAAGTTGAATATGAAGGCTTGCATCTCATGTGCCTTTATTGTGGGAAATTTGGCCACTATCACTGTGTAAAAAATACCCGAGCGCATCGCGCGCTCGACGATACAACAAAGTTGCCATCGAGCTTTATTTATTCCAAAAGAAAAGAGAAAATATTGATAAAACTCAAGAGAAAAAGAAAAGAGTAAGGGAGTCACTTATGCGAGGGGAAAGTATTAACATCACTCACATCCGTCGTACTCGACAGAAACCATTTTGATTGTTCTTTGCACTAATGTATGTTATTATCTAAAGGTTATTTGCAAAAGGAAAAAAGTATATAATTAGTGTGCTCGCGGAAGATTGGGGTCCTTGTGCCAACTTATCCTCATAGTGCAATGAGGAAATCAGAGCTCCATAGTTCGAAGAACCAAGGATGAAAGCGAAAGAAGGTTGCCCGCCAGAATCTCGCAATCTTGTCCCTACGTATCTTCATAGTGCAATGAGGAAATTAGAGCTCTATAGTTCATGGAACTAAAGGAAGAAAAAGGAAATGGAGTATGCCATAGCATGACGCTTCACAAAGTAAAAAGAAAAGAGAAGGAAAGGTTGCCAGGGTATGAAACTCCATAGGGCAAGAAAGAAATAAGAGAAAGGTTGCCAGAGAATGAAACTTCACAAGGCAAAAAGAAATAGAAGAAAGCTTGTCAGAGTATGAAACTCCACAAGGCAAAAACGGAAATAGAAGAAAGGTTGTCAGAGTATGAAATTCCACATGGAAAAAAGGGAAATAGAAGAAGGGTTGCTAGAGTATGAAACTCCACAAGGGAAAAAAGACAAGAGGAAAGTTGATTGCCAAAGTATGAAACTCCACAGGAAAAAAAGAAAGAGAAGATAGGTTGCCAAAGTATGAAACTCCACAGGATAAAAAAAAAGAGGATAGGTTGGAAGAGTATGAAACTCCACAGGGCAAAATGAAAGAGATTAACTCATAGAAGGGTAATTGGCCATGAGGTGCTTAACCCAAAGGAATATTGACGCCAAAGAAGGTCGTTTAGTCCAAAGTGTTGATGATCGTTGTTGTGTTGAATGAATTGAATGAAAATATTGAATGAAATAAGAAGGGCTTTCTGGAAAGTGTCCAGTAAGTTGAAATATCCGTAATACTCTGAGAGTTCTTTCAGGTTCAGGATCTCCACTGTAGAGTTGATTCAACAACCTGCACATACAATAGCTAAGCACCCGACGTAACACCATAGTACAGGAAAATGTTAAAGGCTCAAATTCTTAAATGATAAAAAGTATTAGTAATGAATACAAAATCAAAAATATGTAACTTGACACTCCCCGACAACGACGCCAAAAACTTGTTGCTTGAAAATGTGTCAAGTGCAAGTATACATGTATGTTTAAAAGTAGCAAGTGATAAAAAGTAAGGATATCGTACCTACAGGGAGTGAGTGTTACTAATGTTGATTTTGAATTAATTTGTTTTTTGATTGTTAAGCATGAGTAAGGATAAAAATAATAAATGGATGTCACAAGTTCAATAATTCCTTTACAGACCAGGTCAGTGAGTAGTACCAAGTGTGAAATAATATCAAGAGAGTGTATATTAAGCTAATGTCCATTAATGAATAATGATATAACAATGTCTTCATGAAATGTAGTGTTGTGCCATGAAAGGTTAAAGTGATCCAAATGTGCATTTCTACAACATTAAAACATGTATTGGTTAGGCAAGGGAACAAATCTTTAAGTCACACTTATAACCCTAGAATACTTCTATTATATTCTGAAATCCTTTATAGTTGTAGTCTCTTATCTTTAAGTGAACTAATCAAGTTAATATCTCTATCTTACTTTTCTCAACTACTTTTATTATAAAATCCACTTGTTATTTAATTTCTCCAAACAACAAGTTGTTATCTTCTTCTAAGTTGATCACTTCTAGAATTATATTTATAAACATGCCAACACATGATAAAACACGACACTAGACAACACTTAATTTAACATAAAAAACATCATATCATTAATTTTTCATTGCTCAACATACAAAAAGGTTTAACTCGTAATGAGTTGAGTACAAAGTGCAAATATGGTTTTCTAAAGATACATTCTTAAAAAAATACTGAAAAAGTAATATAAACCTAAGAGTAACTTGAAGACTCCTTGAGAGGGATACTCAGCCAAGGATGACTCAAGTCGTGCCAAGACTCAGTAGCTGGAACCAGATGTTGTGAAAAGAATAACTATTTTTCTCTTCATTTTACACTCTATGCTTTGTCTAGTATTTTTGGAATGATGAACTCTCATTTTTCTTTTCAGCAAGGTCGATTTATAATCTTTATCTAGGGTTTCTTAAAGATCCTTGGATCATGGGCCAATGTTAATAAAATCACATAAAGTCCAATCAATTAAATCAACGATGTTCTCAATATTCTCTCTGGTTAGCCTCTAAGGAATCAGGACAAGAGAACATTTGTGGGAGACAAAGCTTCCTGGTGCAGACTGCCACAATAAGGTGCAGGCGACGCTTCCCTTTCTAGCAGATTACGCAAAGTGGTGGTTGTACATTTGTACTACTCTTGTTTTCTTGCGCCTCTTTGATCTTATCCAAAAATTCAAATGAAATTCCTTCAGTTCAAGCACATTTCCCTATAGTACTCTGCTCCTATTATGCTTTTCCTATGACTAAGTTTATTTCTTCATTTCAAACTCTTGGTTAAAAATTATCTTCTTGCTTTAGCTATCATTCACAGGTGTTGTCTAACACAGTCTTGCCTTGGCTCATCAAAGACAACCTTAATACAAGCAATAAAAACATTAAACCAACAAAAGGGAGCATCTATTGTGCTCCATGCTAAAGACTACACAACAATTGAAATTATCTAAAACAATCTAATAATAAGTTAAACAAACAAAGAAAGTGAAATAAATATGGCTAATGATAACTCACAAAAGGTGGGCTATCAATTTAGATGTTAGAGGTTGACACAAAAAAGAAAAGATTGATGAGCCAAAATTAATGATAAAAAATATTGGAATCTTAGACAAATTGATTGGAAGGCCATAATAATCATTTCTTGGAGTTCAAAATGAAAATAATAGATATATAGTTGTTTACCTTCATTAAGATATTGTCACAATC